ATAATAATAATAACTTACTGCTAACAAACTGCCTGATATGAGCACTATGAGAATACTTATTATGAAAATGAGAGATCATTGCCAGGAACATGTATAATGTGATAGATAAATAACAGATAGAAGATGTTTAATGAGAGAAGAGACAGAAATCTTGAATGAGATAATAATATTCAATAATGATAATAATGAAGAAGATAATTAAAGAATAGAAAAAGTTAGTGAATGAGTAATATAATATAGTGAAAGTTTCTTTGTAAGAGTGTACACAGAACACTAGCTGAATTAGAAATAGATTACATAATTGTAAACACTAGTGACATGCTAATCCGCATGAAGCTAGAGTATATATTATGATTATATAAGTGTGACTGAATCTGATGAGAAAGAATATAGTTCAGAAGAATGTATAATTGCTGAATGATAACATAGCTACTTCTGAACTTGCTTACAAATGTAAAGAAGTCATAGCAGCCATTAATTAATTTAGTGTATAGTATATAAGAAGTCAGTGTACATCTGTAATTATACACTGACTCAAGTAATCTTTGAATCACAAATCAATACTTAGTCTGTATTTAACATTACATAAGAACTCATCATAAGCTTTACTTGTATATAAGTATAATGAAAGAATAATAATAATAATAATAATAATAATAAAGCAGTGTTTCTGAACAAAATATTAAAATATTTAGTAATATTATCAGATGTATATATCACTGATTTATATATTTTCATTTATAAATGAAACTTCTGTTTTATATAATCTTTCAATTGATTATTAATATATTAATTCAAATTAGTTAATGAACTGATAATATCTTTATCTACACTTAGTTTCACAAGCATGTCTAATCTTTATAATAGATAGAGAGTGAGATCAGAAGTATTAAACTATACAGAAGTATTTAAATATTTCTTTAGTATTTACATTATAGTTATATCTGATTCAGTCAGTGTTGAAATTATCTGTACAGAGATTTCTTATTAAGATAATTATTGAATTTCTTTATATTAATATTATTAAGTTGCATATATATTAGCTATTTATTATTATTGTAATTTTAACATTACTTAAAGTCACTGTAACACTATGTCTATTCTTATATTTAAGAGTTCTCTTATATTATTGATAGACATAGCTATATTATTTATTAAATATATAATATCTGCATTTGAGAGTTTTTCAGATGAAGTATACTTATATAAATATTTTATATATCTAAAATATTAGAACTCTCAGATCTTTCACTGATATTCTCTTTATAAGATCTTATTACAGAGTCAGAGTAGACTCGCTGCTGAGATCATGAATTTCATATTTAATCTCATTTAATCTAATTTCATACATAGACTGACTGTTAAGATTATGAATTTCATATTTGATTTCATTTGATCTGATTTCATACATTTCTTGGCATGAATCCCGCTAAGACTAGTCATTAAAAAAACATGTTAAGTAACTATATATCAGATCTTAAAATGAAACTATTACTTGAAAAAAATAAGAAAGTAGTTTTATTTGATTTCATTTAATTTCATTCTTGATATAAAGTTACTTTTTTAGACATTTTAAGGTTTTTTTCTAGACTATTTTTAATTTTTTAAAAAGTAGCACTTTTTGATAACACTTAAATAAGATTTAAAGTCATTTAAAGTAATAAAAATAATTTAAATTGAGAAGTGGAAATCATGATCTCATTTGAAAAATATAATAAGAGTAGACAGTAAGTCTCACTGAGACAGTATGAGACTACTATCTAATGTTAAAACCATGTAATGAGATCAGTTGAATTGATAATAAGACTATTAAAAAATCTGATTCTGGTCTCAGACACGGTCACACGGTCAGTCTACTTATACATTTCTTGATATGAATCCCGCTGAGACTAGTTATTAAAAAAACATGTAAAGTGACTATATATCAGATCTCAAAATGAGACTATGACTTAGAAAAAATAAGAAAGTGATTCTATTTGATCTCATTTACTTTCATTCTTAGCATAAAGTTACTATTTTTAGACATTTTAAGGTTTTTTTTAGACTATTTTTAATTTTTTAAAAAGTAATACTTTTTGATAACACTTAAATGAGATTTAAAGTCATTTAAAGCAATAAAAATAATTTAAATTGAGAAGTGAAAATCATGATCTCATTTGAAAAATGTGATAAGAGTAGATAGTAAGTTTTACTGAAACAGTATGAGACTACTATTTAATGTTAAAACTGTGTAATAAGATCAGTCAAATTAATAATAAGACTATTAAAAATTCTGATTCTGATCTCAGACATAGTTACATAGTCAGTCTAAGTCAGAGTGACTGATAAGTAAGCTTCTATCTGAGAACTCAGTGTCTGCTTAACTAATTATTCATTTCTATATTTCTTATATATTATTATATGTTTAAATATCTTCTTAATAAGTAATTATTTGTAATGAGAAGATAATGAATATTTTTCAAGTGTAAGAGATCTACACTGAATAGATCAGTATTAAGATATGAATCTTATAAAATAAAAGTAAAAAACATTAGAGAAGGAAAAAAGAGAAAGTACAGAAATCAGTGATTAAAGTGAATATTTATACATATATAAGATAAAGCTTCAGAGAGAGAGAATAGAAACTCTTTATTAAAGCTTTCAGACTGAGAATTAATTGATAATTAAGAATTGAAGCTTTTAGCAGAAATCTATGAAGTGTAATAAAATAGTCTATATAATTAATTGAGCGTAGCTCACCACACTTATCTTTTTATAAAATAAGAAAATATACATGCTAAAGTTATAAGAATGAATAAACAGATGAAAGATAAAGAAATATAAAATAAAGAGTGTATATAGATGAAAGAGAATAAGAAAATTGAGAGTAATAAAAAGACTGTTAAGTAAGCAGAAGTAAGATTGAAGATGAAAATCTTCTGTCAGAAGATTAAAAGTGATGTGAGTGAATAATCTGTAAGTATATAATGTAATCAGTTATCTCTCTCTTTTTCTTCTGTTTCTTTTCTCTTTTTTTTCTGTTTCTCTTCTCTTTTTTTTCTTATCTTTTCTTGACCATTCTCATTATTATATGATAAAATTAAATTTTCATTGAAATATAGAGAAATTGTAGCAATGAGCTCAAAGAAAGTGTTCAGAACATCAGATGTGAGAGAAGCAATCAGTCAGATGACTCAGATCAATAAACTTGACAAAGGTGACACAAGAAAGGTGTTGAAAAGATTATTCCGGTTGTTAAGTCAGGCAAAGTGTAATGCTCTTCTTGATGTGAGCGACAAGAAAAAGGCAGAAGAGGAGACAAACGAAATAGAATCTCTATGACATCCGCTTGGGCTTCTATCGCCTTGTTGTCCCAACCCTTTATCCCCTTCATATTCATTGTTTTCATTGTTCTATTGCCTCATTCTTCCAACCCCTTCTTTTACCCGCTCACTTCTTTTCCCCGCCCACATGAATGATATTAACCCACATCTGAAAAAGGCCTAGCGCTAGCTCTCTCATTCCTTATTAGGTTTAGCGCCCGCGGCATTTAGTCGTTTCTATCACTTTCTTTCAACCTCATTTTTCATCCTGCCACCTCATTTTCATTCCCCGCGACCGCCTCTTTTCAGACAGGGGGACTGTGGCGTCCACCCTTGCTACTTCTCAGGGCTTCCGCTTCTTTCTTCTTCTGCTCCATTCTTATTCCCCTATCTGAAAGCACATTCACTCATGCTACTTCTCAGAGCTTCCACTTCTTCCTTCTTCTGCTAAGTCAACCATGATAAACAGACAAGCATGTACTTATATATATATATAGAGGCACCCGCCCATCTCCATCTTAGAAGAAAGAGACAAGAGTTACCATTTTACACGTACTATACACGGTTGGCGTACGCTGCAATTGGCGTACGCTGCAAATGTAATCTCATATAATATCATATATATTTTATCAAATTGTAAGATGGTTGATTTCTTTTATTAAGAGTTAGACTAGCTATGTTATTATATTCTATATAAGATTATATATAGGTCAAGTAATTGAACTGAGTAATGTCACTTAAACAGCTACTATTATATAAATATATGATTTGCTCTTCAGTCTGTACTAGACTGGCTGCTGAAACTATGAATTTCAAGTTTGATCTCATTTAATCTGATCTCATATATTTCTTGATGTGAATTCCACTGAGACTAGTTATTAAAAAAACATGCAAAGTGACTATATATCAGATCTTAAAATGAAATCATGACTTGAAAAAAATAAGAAAGTGATTTCATTTAATCTCATTTAGTCTCATTCTTGATATAAAGTTACTATTTTTAGACATTTTAAGGTTTCTTTTAGATTATTTTTAATTTTTTAAAAAGTAATGCTTTTTAATAATACTTAAATGAGATTTAAAGTTATTTAAAGTAATAAAAATAATTTAAATTGAGAAGTAGAAATCATGATCTCATTTGAAAAATGTGATAAGAGTAGACAGTAAGTCTTACTGAAACAGTATGAAACTACTATCTAATGTTAAAACTGTGTAATGGGATCAGTTGAATTGGTAATGAAACTATCAAAAAATCTGGTCCTGGTCTCAGACACGGTCACACGGTCAGTCTAGTCTGTACAGCTCTGATTAATCTGGTGATGATGATGATAGAGATGATAGAGAGTGAAAGAGAGTGGTAGAAGAAGAGAGTGATAGAGATGGTAGAGGTTAGCGGTGCTAGAGAGGGTAGACAGTGAAAGAGGTGATAGAGGTGGTAAGAGGGAGGTAGAAGTAGAGAGTGAAAGTGATAGAGAGAGCTGCAGGGCAGTAGAGGCAGTGATGATGATAGAGGGATTAGAGAGTGGAAGTGATAGAGAGCTCCACAAGCAGCAAAGTGAGTGTAAGCAAGCATTTGATGTTTGTTGTTATGATGATCTATCTCTCTATTTCAACTATTCTACAGATAATAGTTGTACGTGTTACAGGATTGTGCTTTGCTTAACTCTGCACTAATCAGAGAGCTGTATTACTGCGTAGTGTCAAGACCCTCAAAAAGGAAATTCTCCACCTTTAATGACCAGGGTTTTCATCATATATTTTGCTTCAAATATAAAACCTATTAACTCCAGTCGTATGATGCAATACAGACTTTTTCTTTTTTCTTTCCTGTAAACACCCCAATAATGTAGACTAACTACATGTACAATCCCAATATTTTAACCAATGGTCCAGCAAAATGAACAATCCTGAGACGTCAAAACAGTACGAACACAATATGCACACGCATAACTAACCCTGCACTTCCGATTGTTCGCCCGAAAATTGTAATTCCACCCACCCCCAATTTAACGACGCCAAAATGTAAGTCATCTTAATTTCCATACCCATGCCATCCTGGCTAATGAAGGCTACATACTGCCAGTTAAGAAGAAAAAAGAAAAAAAGAATATATAAAAGTAAATAAAATGTAGCGTGTACGAAGCAGGAGAAGGAACCCAGCCCGACGTTAGTAGAGTAGTAGTCTTTTTTAAGAACGACGACGACGACGAAATAGGCTAGGAAATGACCAACTTGGGCCATTCAACAGTCCCATGTACGCAGGGTCATTCTTGAAATCCTCATCGCGGAATTTCTACCAATGCCCGCAGGAGAGAGCGCAGTTAGTAAAACTTCAAATACCCTAAATAAAAATAAATAAAAATAAAAATCGGGGGAGGGAGGGCATCAATCATACCATCCCCGGCCACCTCCTAAAATCCCCACTATCCTCCGTCATCATATTCCACCCTTCCTCATAGTCATACGTGTTGCCCTCCGGATCCGTCGAGCCCGGTGGGTAAAACGCAACCCCATCCAGCGGCCTGGCATGCCAGATGCAGTCCGCGATCTTGCCCGGCGGGGTGGCCTTCAGCGCCTCCTCGTTGGACGACTTGAGGGCATCGATAGGGTTGTAGCTGTGGCAGGATCTGTTTCTGTAGGGGCTGGCGGCGTCGTAGGGGCCTTCGTGGTGGTAGTGGAAGGGGGTGATGTTGTCAAGGTAGTCGATGACGTCGGGGGGCACGTAGGTGCTGTTGTGGCGGGGGCGGGAGCGGTGGGTGTGTTTGGCGTTGGGGAGGGGGAGGGGGTTGGAGTGGGAGTGGGTGGGTTTGGGGGGTCTTCGGGGTGTGGTTTTTGCGTCTGAAGGGAGGGAGGGGATTGGTTGTGTCGGTGCTACGGAGGAGTATGGCGGTGGAGGAGGGGACCTCGTCGGAGCAGTTGGAGGTGGCATGGTTGTTGGATGTGCTTGTGAATGCATGGAACACTTTATGGAGAGAAACAAACAAGAATAAATTAAAAGAAATGTTTGTGGGAATTTGATGGCAAGATATTATATTTGACTTGGGTAGTAGTAGTAGTAATTGAAGTCACCGGCGATGTGTAGGTAAACATGTAGAATTTATGAATTTATGGCTGTTGAAGAGTGGAACAGGAGAAAGGTACATGCACAGTACAAAGCTGATTGCTATATTTATTCAAAGTGATAGAAACCAAATTAGGCACAGCCCCTGGGCAAGACATGGTGCTGATATATGAGTATATATATATAGAATATGAGAAGTTTATCTGAGATAGCCATAGCCGCATCACTGTGATATCATATTTGCTTTTTCAAATCTAAGTTTATTAACTAACTACTAGTCTAGACAGATAATCCAAAAGATTAAGAATTTAAGCTGCAATGCTGTTATTATTCTCATTCTTAAGCACTCTGAGGTTTAGGCTAGCTGACATCTGCATATATGAGATCTCTGATTGATTCAGAAATTAGCAAAATTTGATAGAAGTCTAAAGAAGTTTACTTGCTCATAGTAATCCAAAAATATCAATAGAGGCTGAGCATGCGGAGGTAACATGGTACAGCTCCCTAATACGCTCGGCGACCAGCTTGGCTCTCTCCCAGCTATTTGCAACACTTTACTCTAAGCGATAGACGGACTGACAATACAGGCATGGCATCTCGACTAAGCGCGTGGGGAAACACTCTGCGGCAAAAGCCTTCATCATCGAGAAAAACTCCGAACGTTTCGTATTCTACTCTACCGTTTGGGATCTATCTGGAGGAGGAGACTTTGCCTTAATATAAGCCTGTGCAGTTCCTCACAGTCAAAATTGGAGACATATTCGAGGCCAGATACCAGGTCTCAGGAAAGATTGGTAATGCCCCTAGCAACCGCTCCTCTAATAATCAAAATGCTCAGAGAAAATAAATATACACTATTGAAGGTATCCACGTCGCTGCCCACATACCCAACAAGCAACCGATCGCGAGTTAAAGATCTATGAGCATCTGAGAAAGGCAATTCTTCGCATCCTGGTCAATCACTCAGCCGTGAGCTTTACAATTCATTTGATATTCAAGGTCCTGCTGGCAAGCACCGCTGTTGGTGCTACAACCAATGCTCATGACACTCCTTGAGATGATGAGACTGAATCCGAGGCCGCTTGACCTACCCCTCCTCAAAATGACTGTCAAGTGACTACTATTGGCCCTTGACTTTTTGCACACTGAAGCTGAGATAATCTATACTGGTATTCAGCCCTGCCACTATATCGCGCGAACAACTCGTTTCTGACTCGAACTACCTTTAAAAACTGACAATTTGATGCTCATCCGGAGGATAACAGCATGCTAGCGGATTTAGCAGAGACAGAGGCCGAAAATCCAATCCTCGGAAGAAGATCCATGAGTCACATATCATCTACCAGAGTAGAAGATTCCGTCGCCCGGCTGGAGAGGTAAAAGTTATGCGCTCCCTATACTGTGTGACTTTGGCGAGGCACGAATTTGGAGAAAGACAGGAGTTCGGCCCATTCATCCAACCACATATTTATAGAGCACCGGAGATAATATTTCAGATGCCGTGGGGGAGTTCTGTCGATATTTAGAACCTAGCGGGTTTGGCAAGTAACTATAGCGCTTCCTTCTGTAGCCGCCATGGAGGTCCTTTGCTGATCACTCGGTAGATTTGGGACCTCTTTGAAGGGGGGCATTTGTTTGACGATAAATTTGGCACGAAGGGAGGCTATGACCCGATCAAACATTTGGCGCTCATGGTTGAGTTGATGTACCCACCACCACAAGAATTTGTCACACGGTGGTAAGTATCTTGTGTCTAACGTGTGGAAGGTGTAAAGCTTGCTTGATTGAAAAGGTTGCTGGCTAGGTTGTGGGAAGTGATATGGTGGAAGGATTAGTAAGCCAGATCATGTGACCTGACATAACGCGTAACTATGCAAGGAACCTGAAGATGCAGCCATTCCATTGGTCTCGCTGGAGAGCTTGGAGAGGCGACTGTCTGGGCAAGAGAAAGCATCGTTTATCCAAGTGTATGAGGTCAATGCTTAAATGGCTACTAGAGGAACGCAAGATAGCGAGGTAGCTACTCGAGAATGCATCTTGCATATATATATATATATATATCTACTCTGTAATGTAATCAACCACCTAACGCTCGTTTCCACCTAACGCTCGCCTTTGTAAATCAATTACAATCAACTTCAAATATTCATATCTCAATGAATATTTATTTAAAACTATTCTAAAAAACAGAACAATAATTCATAGATATATATTATATTATATTAAATTTCTATGAGAAAATAACATATAATTATTAATTTATTAAGCTTTTTAAAGTACTATTTTAAAATAAAATACACAGTCTATATTTATAAATATATTTATAAATATAAATATATTTATAAATATAAATTATTTTCATATAAAAATTAAATATCTTATAGATTATATATATTTTTAATAAAATATAAAATTTTATCTTGAAATTCTTATTTATTATTAATTTATTTAAATTTTTATATAAAATCTTTGTGGCGGGCTGCATCTGATCATTATATAGACTATTTCTTTACACTTCATAGATTCCGCTGAAAGCTCTGATTCTCAGTTATTCTCAATCACTGATTCTCAGATGAAAAACTCACAGAATTTCTGTTCTTTCATCTCAAAGCTTCACTGCATATATACTGTGTATATGTATAAATATTTACTCTGATTATCAATTCTTACACTTTCTCTTTCTTTTTCTTCTTTAATATTTTTCACTTTGTTATATAAAATCTATAAATATTATACTGATCTATTCAGTGTAGACTTCTTATACTTAAAAAACATTTATCATCTTCTTATTAGAAATGATTATTTATTAAGAAGATATTCAAACATATAATAATATATAAGAAATAGAGAAACAATCAAAGAGTTAAACAGATATTAAGTTCTTAAATAGAAGCTTACTCATCAGTCACTCTGACTCTGTAACAAGATCTTACAAAGAGAATAAGATCTTATAAAGAGAATATCAGTGAAAGATCTGAGAGTTCTGATATAGATATATAAGATATTCATATTATTACACACATCTGATGAATGATACAGCTATGTCTACTGATAATATAAAAGAACTCTTGAATATAAGCATAGATGCAGTGTCACAGTGACTCTGAGCAATGTTGAAATTACAACAGCAATAGATAGCTGATATACATATGACTTAACAATATTAATATGAAGAGATTCAGTGATTATCTCAATAAGAAATCTCTGTACAGACAATTTTAACACTGACAGAATTGAATATAGATATAATATAAACACTGAAGAAATGCTTAGATACTTTCATATATTTTAATACTTCTGATCTCACTCTTTACTTATTATAAAGATTGAAAATACTTATAAAACTAAGTATAGATGAAGATATCATCAGTTCACTAATCAATTAAAATTGATATATTAATGAATGATTGAAGAATCATATGAAATAGAAGTTTGATTTATAAATGAAAGCATGTAAATCAGTGTTATGAATATCGGATAATATTATCAAGCATTCTGATATTCTGTTCTGAGATACTGTCATATAATAGAAAGTATTAAATTGATTACAGAGTGTCTGATAGAGAAACACTTCTCTTACAATATTTATTCCTGACTTTAATATCAAGATTCTAGAAGCAGGTGATCAATCTTGAGAGAACTGAATGAAGATTAGTATGCTTAAGAAGATATTAACTTTTGAACTCTTACAGGCTCTTGTAAGTATAGATAAAGATCAGACTTATAAAGATTTCTGTGTATAACTTCAGATATTGAATGACTGTCTTATCAAGCTTAAGAGTATACAGAACAGTGATAGAAGATATTATATCTCAGTCACTTATACACCTGCACTGAGAAATAACAACAATGATACAGATGTTATAAACTGAGTAGACTTGAATATCTATACATAAGTAAGAGTCTCTGTTATCTGAATAAGCTTCTGAGTTTCTGAGATCAGTTCTGAAGAAGTTGCTGATTAATGTCAATGAAAAGTGTGTATCAACTGTAACTGATCAGAACATATTACTTTTAACTGCTGATCAGTCTATGTATCTTCTTACTCAAAGAATGAATTAACATCTGTTCACATTAACTACATTGCATTGAAGGAAGATTCAGAAGATAACTATGAGAATGTCTTAATAAAACAGGGAAAAGATTAGCTTCTGTTCAAATTTATAAACAGAAGCTTGAAGAGATCAGATAATAATAATTTAAAGAGAAAATAACAATGAATATGATTCTTATATCTACTGTGATTAATAATAGGTATAATATAAAAGCCATGATAGACAGCAGTCTATGTTATTATACAATGATTAAATCTTTAGTTATAAGATATTACAATCTTCAGTATATTCTCTTATTAAAACTCTGACTTCTCACAGAATTTGATAACTTAAAAGACATTTATATTCATTACATAGTAAAGTTGAACATAAATATTAGAGAATATTAATATAAAGATGTCTATATATATGAAGTTGATAATCTTGATTATAATCTTATATTAGAACTTATCTGACTATCTGAATAAGATATCTTATTAAACACTTAAAATAGAAGCTTAATATTCTCTAACAATGATAGAGTTCATGAAGATAACATTTATAAGACTATGAATCTGACATAGATCTCTGTCAACATCTATGAAATACTCTGAAAAGAAAGTCACTAAAAAGATTGCTAATAGTAGAATTATGTAACAATCTATTCTATTAGTCTGACTGATATTAAGAAAGCTCTAGAGAAGTTATTCTGTACTATAATAACAGATTCTCATACACAACTCTCTTAATAATATCATGAATACTTAGATGTCTTCTGATAAGATAATATTATGAATACATCTCTCTTACAAGACTTAGAAGTAAATCAAAGTATCAAGTTAGAAAAGAAGAATGATAAAAACTCTGAGTTATCATGAAGCTCTCTTTATAATATGTCTTGAGATGAACTTCTTCTTCTTCAGAAGATACTTAATGATCTGTTGAATAAGAAATTTATATATATTAATAACTCTTTCACAGCAGCTTCTATTCTCTTTGCAAAGAAATCAGATGAAGAACTCTGATTCTGAGTGAACTATTGAGAATTCAACAGATTAATCAAGAAGAACTGCTATTCTTTATCTCTTATCAATGAAACTCTAGCTCACATTGAACAAGCTCAATAATTTATAAAACTAGATGTTATTACTGTGTTTTATAAAATTCATATTACTGAAGAAGATGAATAACTTATAGTATTCTGAATATATTATAGTCTCTTTGAATAAATAGTTATACTCTTTGAACTGATTAATACTCTCAGTATATTACAGAAGCATATTAACTAAGCACTCTAGAATTTCCTTAATGAATTTGCATCTGCATATCTCAATGATATTCTCATCTTTATTAATGAGTTCAGAAAAGAATATCAAGAAGACATGTAAAGAGTATTATAATAATTACAAGAAGCAGAACTATCAATAGATATTGATAAGTATAACTTTGAAGTCAAGAGTACTAAATATCTAGGTTTTATTATAGAAGCTGGTAAGAGAATTCAAATGAATTCTGAGAAAGTCTCTGTTATTCTTAAATAAAAAGCTTCATATACTGTGAAAGATGTATAAAGCTTTATCAGATTTATGAACTTCTATCAGTGATTTATATAAAACTTCTCAGATATTATAAGATTACTTACAGAACTTATCAGAAAGAACTCAGTATTTCAGTAGTTAATAGACACTAAAGCTGTATTTATATAGATGAAGAAGATATTCATTAATATCTCTCTACTAATGATATTTAACTCTGATTATAAAACAGTTGTTGAAGCTGACTTCTCTGACTATGTTATAGAGAGAGCTATATTATCATATAATAATAAAGATATCTTATAATTATATATCTTTATATCTAAGAAACTGAGTCCTGCTGAATACAACTATAAGATCTATGATAAGAAACTTCTTATAATTATATACTATCTAGAAGAATGAGACTCTGAACTCTGAAGTATCTCTGAATTTGAGATAATCACAGATTATAAGAATCTCAAATACTTCATAACTATCTGTAAACTCACTGAATAACAGATATGATAATCTGAGTTTTTAAGTTACTTTCATTTTATAATACACTACTGTTCTGATAGTCAGAACTCAATGACAGATACTCTCTTATAACAAGAGTAAGATATGTCTTTCAATGTAATAGATACTTATTGAATAAACTGAGAACACTGACTTCTAGATCTGAAGATATTAGTTAATCAAGATGAAACAACTTATGACACTATATATACTTCTCTGATTAGAACACTCTCTCTCTGAACTGTCACTGACACTGACACTGACACTGATACTAATACTGATACTGATATCTCATCTTCTTCTGAATCTATACTGAATGAATTATGACATGTAACAGCTCAAACTGATGAACTTCTTCAAGTACTCACTGAAGTAGTATATTAAGAAGCACTCTGTTTTTCTCCAGAACTATGTATAAGAACTGATATCTTAGAATACTCAATTGATGATAATAATACTCTGTGATTTTATAAACAATATTGAGTCTCTTACTCTGAACTCTTACACATCTGAATAATACAAGAGATACATGATTTGTATATAACTGATTATTCAGATTATGAATAATTATACTGAATAATCTCTTAAGAGTTCTACTAATCTGAGGTATTAAACAGTATCAGATACTTTATCTGAAACTGTAACTATTATTCTTTCATCATTTTATAAAAGAACTGTAGAAAAGATTTACTGAAATTATTTAATATCTCTAATAGAATTTAATATGATGTAGTAATTGACTTCACTATTAATCTCTCTAAGAGTGAGAATTGTAAGAATATTCTGATTATT